CAAAGAAAGAACAGAAGAACTATAATAAAAGAAATTTAATAGTTCCAACTAGTATTTAATTCAATGGTTTGTACTTTTTTTTTTATAAGAGATTGTGAGTTCGAGTTGATCTGTGTTTTTCTTTTATGTCGAAAATCATTTTTATTGTGTTGTCATTGGTGTATGTGTATCACATTATTAATAAATATATAAATTTACTCAAAAATAATTAGAGAAAAAATTAAATTTTAAATAGTGTAAATCTAAAAAAATTAAGAACATAATCTTTAAATATAAAGGATGAAGCTAGATTTACAATTACATGTTTTTTTTCAACTAAAATTACAATTACATAATAAAAACTCAAAAATTATAATCGTCTTGCCTCAATATATAATTATTAGGTTAAATTTTCGTCTCTTTAATAAGTGCATTTGTCACCTTATTGTAACTACCATAAGGAAAAATACTTGTCCTTCGTTAGTTATTAGGGACATTCCGAAAACATTCGGGGTCAAAATATGACTTTCAAATTAAATTCTGAGTTAGTAGATGTTGTTAAAAGAAATAACGATATCATACACAAAAAGAAAAAAACTCATAGAATGGCAGAAGCAAATAGAGTGTTTGCACATTTTCGTTAATCTATGAACATAATCTATATAGACACATAGATCCATGGATCCATACATCTCGATCGGAAAAGAATCAATAGAAAAAGAAAAAATTTAAATTGATCAATCTATTTCTCGAAACAAATGAAAAAAAAAATAAAAAATAAAACATAAAATACCAATCAACTAAACCTACTCGTAGAATTGCTTCAAAATAAAAAAGAAAATTTTTATGTAAATACCATGGAATAAGATTTGATTTTATTTATAAAAATTCCGTAAATATTCCATTTCAAAAATAAAAAAATCGAAACAGTTGAAATTTTTTTGGAGATTTGATGCAATTACTAATCCAAACAACTAATTGAGAGTAAAAAATTCAAAACAAACGCAAATGCTTTTGACATTCAAGGTAACGATACCAAATTCATCCCCTCACATACATTCAAAGAGCCTTGTAGTGAACATATTTGACGCGTTTCCTTCTAAAACTATACATCTTCTAAAACACATAATCATTAGGTAACATTCGATGCTTTCATGGGATACATGTGCTCCATTGCCTCACAAATTTTGTTTACCATTTAGGGTGTTTTTAAATCATTCATACTATGTGTAACTTTCGATTCAACCTACCATACTAATACATGTTCAATATTGAAATATTAGGTGTAACTAATTACATGTTTAATGTTGAAATAGATACATTATACATCAAACCAATATTTTGTTTTTTTTAAATGATTTTTTTTTTAATATTTAAGTTCAGCGTGGATAAATTATTTTTAACTTTAATCGCGATAATGAATTTATTTTAATATCCGTATTTAATCTTTATTTTTAATTTATTTATAATGAATTTCATTTTGATCATACCCATCAACTTAATGTGCATTAACAAGTATTCCTTTAACTTAATTATTTATATTCATTACTTTTGTCTATAATGTAAGTTGGAATTGAATTATATTTTCTAAACTTTTTATTACAAAATTATTGTATCAATAATCATATAGTTATAGTGTATAATTTGACAATATTTTTTAAGAATCAGTAAATACATATGTTTAAGGTATTTTCACCATTTTGTTTGTCCAAAAGTAGTAAAATTTCAATTTGGATTTGTGTGGTGAAACACATTGGATATATATATATATATATATTTGACCAAAGTGACCCATACGAAAATATGTAGAGCCATGAGCCTATTCCATTTATGATTTTTGACGGAGACCCAACAAATCTGGTCCATTTAGGCCCGTATATGGATTTAATATGTCTATTATCACAATGTGTATGTATTTGGCCCATTTAGATATACCTTATTCCGTAGGCAAAATTTCTCATTCACATTTTAATAGAGAAATATATCTTATACTATAGTTTGGTTTATCGACCCAATTGAATTTAATGAACTAAAATAAAATTAAATTACACAATAAACTCAATGCATTTGTGGGGTTTTGTTGAACAAGAGTTTATTTATCAAATGTATAGCTTAAATTTATTAAATAATTCACTCTATTATATTTTATCTTAATCTATGTTTAAGGTTCATTTTGACCCGTCAATCTATTCCATCAAACTTACTTTTAAATTCAGATATTTTGTAAAACTATATACTAAAATTTATAATAATAATAAGCACCGATCTAATAGTTAATTATAATTTATTTTATGTTATGTAGTTAAATTTAAATTTTATGTTAAATATATTTTGTTATATATTGTGTTATATTTAAATAATAATATAATCGGATTGATTATTCAATAATTTAGTCGATAATACAGCATGAAATGTGAAAGGAGGTATAAAAATGCGCATGTGGGAGGTGAGAATCCCGAAAGTAATTACATCTCAAGAAATCTTGGAGAAAAATATGCATACAACTTCCAACTCACATAAAGCAAATGTCAAGCTCAAGCTTCATATTTAATGTTATTTTATTAATAATTCTATAATTAATAATTCCATAACTATATTATTAATTAAAATATCTCAAAGTACATATTATGAACGACTTTAGTACAGATTTTATTAAAAATGTAAATAATTTTGATTACATTTGCTATGTTAAACAATGGGATAGAAACAAAACTCTATTAAAAAAAATATGACATCATAAACTAACTTTAATTTAATTAAATTAAATAAAAATTTAAAATTCAACAGAAAAAAAAAACATATATATATATATATGATGAAATGCATAATATAATTTCCTCATCAATTCTTGTGTTATCCAATTATGATGTTTAATTTTATATTAATATGTATAAATATTAAGCAAATTATTATTTTAACTCTTAAATTATTTGTAGTGTTTACAATTTTTTAATATAATTCTCTATTATAATTTGGTCATTAATTTTAATATCTTTTAATAAAATTTAATGATTTTAACTTGAGGCATACGAAACAATAATATAATTTTAACTAATCATATTTTTATTAAAACAACAGCATCAACACGTACTCTCATTATTTCTGCTAATTATATACTGTCAACGTCAATATATTTTTACAAAATATATTTAATAATTTTTTATTTTTATATTAAATGTATCTAAAAAATAAAATCGAATAAAAATTTTGATATAAAAATATTATTTATAGTTAACTAAAATAATTTTGAATATATTTAAATTAATTCCAATTTAAAGTTAATTAATAAATTTTATATAATATAAATAAAATTTATGAAAATATTTAGTTATATATGTATATATATTCATTCATTTGCTACTAGTTACATTTAAGGGCTCATAATTGACAATCATCTTATAAGTTAAATAACTAAAGTAAATATTTGTAATTTTTAATAAGATATTGTATTTTTTAATTAAAATAAATTTTGCAAAAATATTTAAATTTTTTAACAACCACTATTTGTGTCATTTTTAATATAGAAATATTAAAACCAAATTTTTTAGTCCAATGTACTAAAATTAATTATTAGTATTAATATGTAGGGTAGGTCCATACATGATTTATTTGTGTGTAAATAGTCATACATGATTTTCTAGTAATTATTATCTCTTGTAGATTTGATAAACATATTTCCTTATTCATAAATACTTACTTTTATATACTTACTTCATAAATACACACACGTCTGTGTTATATATTATTGTTGAGGAAATATTTATTTATTTACTCATTTTGCAAAAAAATTAATGAAAAATTAATAACATCGTGACACCCAATAGCAATGGTGGAATCTATGCTACCATAAATATAAGTCAACATTTTCTCTAATAATTTAAATATTACATTTATCTAACTATATATTGTTTTTTATATATATACACACACACACACACACACAATACTACAAAATATTCCACTTATTATGTTCAAACATAAACCAACGTTTTGTATTATTATCATATTAATATAATTATAAAATATGCTCCTCTACCATGTCAATCATTGGACCATAATAAAATAACAAACTACGTTACAAACTTTATTTTGTATATATTACAAAGTCTAACGACTTAAAATTCATATATATATATATATGTGTGTGTTATAACATTTTATATAGAAAATTAGATTTTAAAAAGAAATCTTAATTTTTTTATCAAAACATTTAAAAAAGTCAACGATTTGGGTTAAAAATTAAAAAAATTTACAATGTGCCTGCCAGATTTGGCAGTGGTAGATCTAGCCTAATTTTGGTAAGACATCACTTAAGCGCTACGTTTAATTTGGTCATTGTTTATAAAACCGACCAAGTTAAATTAAATAAACATTTTTTTTTTAAAAATAAAAACTTATTATTCACAAATTGCCCCTGATTTATTACGTATTTACACTTTTGTCCTATTGGTAGACAGTCGAGTCAAAATTTCAAAATCCATCGGCTGTCTCCTGTCACTTTCAATTTTGTTTTCCTCTCACAACATTTTAAAGATAATAATCAAATTTATTTATTTTTCTAAATATTAATAGTAATTAAATTTCAGTTTTCATTGTTTTCATTTTCATTTTCATTTTCATTTTCATTTTCATTTTCATTTTCCCCTGCATCTCTCTATGCTGCGCTGACCATTAAATACTAAAAATACAAACTTCTTATTATAAAGAACGAAGGCCTCTTCCTTCATTTTATGTCTGTTTATTCTCCAAAAGGTCCTCTCTCCGTCGTCTCTCTATTTACATTTTCATTACCTGGAATATCAATTCTATCCGTTGATCTTGATTTGCAGTGTGACAGATCTAGGGTTTACAGGTTCTCTTTCTTCTTTTTTCGTTAACCGGAATTTGCGTTTATGAATCTCATTTCCGTGTTTTCTATTCTGTCTCGTCCTTGTTGTAGTTGCGGTTCTCCACCTTTGACATGCTCATATTTGGTGAATTGTGAACGAATGAGGTTTGTATTTTCGTATTCAAAATATGAATTCACTGTAGGTATATACAAATTAGCGTATCTGGTTCCGTGTTTGCACATGTTTGTAGATGGAGGTGCGGTTTTGGTGATTATTGAATTACTTTGCAGATCCTGAATTCCTGATCAAAGAATAAAAAAGAGAGAGATAGAGAGAGAGAGGTGAGAAAAGATGAGCGAGGTCCAGAAGTTTCAGCTTGGGACTGTAGGTGCTTTGAGTTTATCGGTGGTGTCATCGGTGTCCATCGTGATTTGCAACAAGGCGCTTATCAGTACACTTGGTTTTACTTTCGGTGAGTGAAACAGTATTCGTTCGATAATAAGAAATTTGGCGCTTTGTTATTTATATATCATTTGATGCGGTATAGATTCTTGTCATGGAATTGATTCGGTGCTTTGCTAACTTGTTGTGGCGCTGATTGTCTGGACATCTCTATTGGGGCTTTTATTTTATACATCCACTAGTTCCGAGTTATTTATGTGTTTGAGAGTGTTAATGAATGTGTAAAGATTTCACAATTTAGGATGATTTGTTTCTTGTTTTTGACCAGATAATTTTTGTGGAGATTTTAGGATTTATGATTTCACAAAGGTTTCGTATTTAAGTCATTCATGGAGTTGTCTAACTGTGCACTTTATTTACATCACTATCCTTTTCTTTTAATGGATTTCACTCATCAATTTCGAATGACTATATTTCTATAAAAAAACAATATAGGAATGAAAACCTTGCAAAGCAGAGTTACTGCTACACTTGTAAATTTTTTAGACATTTAAGAAGCTCCTTCTTGAATAGGCTGCCTACTATTTTGCTCTCATTTGGTTTTGGTAATATGTTATCATAATTCGGCATGTCTCCGTCGGTAAACATAATCTCAACTGTTAGTCCTGTATAGTACAATTACTTGTATGCTTTTGACGGCAATATTAATTTTATTAACATGTATTTTTGGAATTATTGTCAAATCATCACCATGACATTTTCATTTTCGTCATTTCATGACCATTTATGCTAATCTATTACCCTGGAGTATGCAGCTACAACTTTGACGAGCTGGCATCTCTTAGTAACATTTTGTTCCCTTCATCTTGCTTTATGGATGAAATTGTTTGAACACAAGCCTTTTGATGCACGAGCTGTAATGGGATTTGGCATACTAAATGGAATATCTATTGGACTTTTGAACCTTAGCTTGGGCTTCAATTCTGTTGGTTTCTACCAGGTAATTTCTATTATTTAGGCTTTGATTCGTTTACATGTTTATTTGTTTACCATGACTGCATTATTGACATAGTGTATAGCAAAAATGCTTATGATTTTCATTAAATTATTAAGGTGAAGATATGAACGTATTTTTAGTGCTTCCCGTTGTGGAGGACTGTCACATATTCCAAATGAAACTGAAAAAGATTGTGCGTGTAAAATCTTTTCCAAGGTCATGTGATCTTATATGGCTATTGGGAAGGTCAACCATCTTTTGTGTCAAAAAATCATAGTCACTCCCGATATCCAAATTTACATGCTTTTATTCAGTCTTTTGAATATATCCTGTTCACATTGTGATTCTTCTAGATAGATTTTTGGTACCCTGAATGTGTTGTTGTGATTAGTTTATGAAAATTTTGTGTTTTCTTCTTTTTAGATGACAAAACTGGCAATAATTCCCTGCACTGTTCTTTTGGAGACTCTGTTCTTCAGGAAGAAATTCAGGTCAGTCCTAATTGTGCCCAATGCTTGGCATGCTAAAGATTTGTCAAAGTCTCTCCATTCATCCGTGAATCATCTTCTACATTAGTAATTTACAAATGACCTATGTTGTCTGGGTTATCAGCATATATAGGAGAGCATGCTTGCTAATGGTTGTATGTAATTTTAATTATGCTTTCTTAGCTTCTGAGCTTCTGCTACACTCCAGACACGCATAAGCCAGAGGAAAATTTTGCTTATCTTACTTGCAATCGCTTAGACTTTTGATTCTCATATCAAGCATGGCTTCCATGCTGTTGGGCCTTGGTCCTTTATTACAGTTACTGCAAGGAATATGCATCATATATAATATATATTTTTTTTCTTGTAGTCATTCACTTATACAAATATTCAGTTTTCAACTTTTCTTGTAAACTTTCATCTTTACATCCACGTACTAACTCTTCCTAATGCAATTGCAGTCGTAAAATCCAATTTTCACTAGCAATCCTTCTCGTGGGTGTTGGAATTGCAACAGTGACTGATCTTCAACTCAACGTCCTTGGTTCTGTACTGTCTCTCCTTGCAGTTATTACGACATGTGTTGCACAGATTGTATCCTCAATCTAAGTCACCTTTCTACTTTTTTGTACCTTGTATGCCTTTTTATGTGTTTCTTGTTCAGCAAGTCGTTGTGGGGCAAATTTTTCCTTCCCTGGTGAGTTAAATTTCAGCTTGTTTACTGTCTTAACCAAAAGTCTCTCAGATGACCAATACAATTCAGAAGAAATTCAAGGTTTCCTCGACCCAACTTTTGTACCAGTCTTGTCCCTATCAGGCAATCACATTATTCATCACGGGTCCATTTCTAGATGGGCTTTTGACAAACCAAAATGTCTTTGCCTTCAAATACACCCCTCAAGTACTGGTGAGAATTCAATTGCCTCCTGAAGTAGATATTGATTCCCTTGCTAAACCCTCTGCCTTCCCTGCCCCTTTTCTCTTTTCCGTCTTATTTAGATTTGTTGCATTTTCTAGCAATATTTTTATTTGTGTTCTCTTGTATGCAGTTCTTCATCGTTCTTTCCTGCTTGATATCTGTGTCTGTAAACTTCAGTACGTTTCTGGTGATCGGGAAAACTTCTCCAGTCACTTATCAAGTCCTAGGACATTTAAAAACATGCCTGGTTTTGGCCTTCGGTTATGTTCTCCTTCGTGATCCATTCAGCTGGCGCAACATTCTTGGTATCCTCATTGCTGTGATTGGTATGGTACTTTATTCATATTATTGCACAAAGGAGACTCAGCAGAAGGCTAATGAAGCATCAGCTCAATTACCCCAGGTAGGTAGAGCATGGTTTTTAATTAGGTTAGTCATATTCGATATATCCTTACTCTTTTAACTCTGATATTACTGCATTTTATTTACACGTGGAAAATAAATTTATTCTGCTGATGCTCCACTCTAATGGATTTAGGTCAAGGAAAGTGAAGCCGATCCCCTAATTAGTGTGGAACCTGGAAGTGGGATGTTAGCAGATGGTGTAGTTCCGAAAGCTCCTGTATGGAATTCAAACAAGGATCTGCATGCGTGAAGATTTTGTTAAATCTCTTATCAATTTGTTCGTTACCCCATATTTCACCCCTGATCAAATTAGTTATTAAAACTGTTTCCAGCAATGAAGATGTTGCTGACAAGGGTCCCCGTGTATTGTATGGGTATTCTGAGATTACAGCTTCTATTATAGCAGTTTCCCAGAGTTTGAAGGGAAAAAGAACAGCTTATCATATATAGCAGTTTTGGTTATATTTTGTATGAATCAGGTACGGCGACAGGGATGAATAGCGGAAATTGATTTGTTGAATGTATACTGTTCTTGATACTAGAAATTTTTGGTAGTAATCATTTCTGATTAGAGCCATTTCTGATACTGGAAAATGTTGCAAGGCATGAGCCTGTTGTTGAGACCTGTCTTTGAACAACTGCCTCCTCAAGTTAACTTGCCTAGTTAACAACAGTTTGAAAGTGGTGATTCATATATTCTTGGTTTTTTTTTTTTTTAAAAAAATTTCTCTATATGATTTTTATTCCTTGTAACTCCTTGCCTTTTGCTTACTGCCTGTGATTATATACAATTGGTAATTTGCAGTTCCATCTGGTTGTAATTTCTGACCTATTACATTGGAAATGGGAGAGAATATTAGAATAAAGTAATAAAAATTGACCTCTTCTTTTAGGTTAGAAGCACTTAATTTAACATGAGGGTTATCCTGTAATCTTCTTGATTCTTTTAATTGCGTTTCTTTCATGATCTCCATTTTCAAAATTACTACATTCTTTTACTTTTTGAGGGAGAAAATTATTTTTTATCTTAAAGTTAAATTATGAAAAATGATATTTTAGTACAAAATTATCAGCAACTTTATAGTAATGAATTCTAAAAATTGAAAAGAAACATTTATATACTTGCTCTGTCCAATTCGGATGTAATTCTACACCTAATAATAAAACATATATATATATATACATATTTAATAAATGACATCGAAAATTGAAAATTGAAATCCAGGAAGAGGTAGGGAACAAAACAAGCCAATAAGCGAAGATGCTTACACGTACAGCTACCAAACAAAGTAACAATCTTAAAAAATAACAAGGGTTGTCATTCGATTACAAATGGACCATTGAAGCTTCAATATTTCTCGACTCCCACAAAATTTCATCTTCCTCCCTTAGGTCTTGTTACAGTGAACTGTGTTTGTGTGTTTTTCGAGAGAGAGAGAGAGAGAAGGGATATCGGCGATGGCATTCTGGACAGTGAGCAGAAAAGCTCTTGGTCTGACCAAATCCCTAAGGCCAGAGCTGAGCCATGTCCGTGGTTTGCAGACGTTTGCACTCCCAGACCTCTCCTACGATTATGGAGCCCTAGAGCCAGTCATAAGCGGGGAGATCATGCAGCTGCATCACCAGAAACACCACCAAGCTTACATCACTAATTACAACAAAGCCCTCGAGCAGCTCGATCAAGCCACCCAAAAGGGTGACTCCTCTACCATTGTCAAACTCCAAAGCGCCATCAAATTCAACGGCGGAGGTACCACTTTTCTTCATTTTTGATCGTTCTAGAAATATGTTAGATGTCCTTGGAGTTTTTTAAATAATGTGTTAGTTTGATCTTTAATTAACTGAATCCCATTTCTAGGCCACATAAACCACTCGATTTTCTGGAAAAATCTGGCCCCTGTTCGTGTAAGTCTATATATAATCTCATGTTTCTTCTTTTAAATTTTCTAAATATTTAAGTGCAGGCTTTGGATATGTTGGGTAAATAAAATTGTTTGACAGGAGGGAGGTGGTGAGCCTCCAAAGGGATCTCTAGGATGGGCCATTGACACTCAGTTTGGATCTCTTGAAGCTTTGATTCAGAAGGTCAATGCTGAAGGTGCTGCTTTGCAAGGCTCTGGATGGGTGGTCAGTATTTGTCCCTTTTCTTAAAAAAATTAGTCTCTTTTTCTAAAACAATGGAGATAGCCATAATTTTTTTTTTTTCGAAATAAAAGAAGTATGTTATTATAGAGAAGGTATTAAGGGGGTACCTTCCGTAAATGACGATGACCATAATATAATGGAATTAGAAAATTTTGAAATGTTTTATTTAGTGTTTGTAAGAATATTATTACCAAATTAATTGTTGCACTGTAGTACTTTAGGATTTTGTATTTCTGATTAGTGGTGATATGAATTAAGAAGTAAACTCTTTGTTTCTGCTGAAACTGTTTGTAGTGGCTTGCTGTTGACAAAGAGCAGAAGAAGCTTTCAGTAGATACCACTGCAAATCAGGTATTGCCAATAACTTGATTTTTGCTGCTTGTCATTGCTGAAAAAACAATTTATCCTTCTGCTTATTATCATCTTCTTGCTAGTGTCTATTAGTTTGACACACGCATATCAGGTAGAATTATGTAATTGGGTGTGCGCAGTTAGGAATGAAGTTGAGTAGTTAACTAGTTCTCAGATTATTACAAAAATGCCTTTGCTTCTGCCTTCAGTGGAGGAAAATGGTGTATATCATTTTCTTACCTGTGGTTTAAAAGTTATTAGGATACATTTTTGTGCTAGTGTAAGATTACATTGTAGGTGGAACCTCAAGTACCCAATTCTTTTTGAACTGTTTTATATTGAAAATCTAATTTCTTATATTTGGTAATTAATCATTACAAAGCCTAATTTCTGACTGTTTTCGGACGTTGCTTAAAATTTCACCTATTTATTAACCATTTTCCTAGCACCCTGGAACACGAGTAACCTTTTTGGGGGGAGCATAGGGATGGGATGTAAATTCACTTCAAGCACTTGATGACAATTGCATTGATTGGGAGAAGCCTAAGTGATTATTGACACTTAAGACCTAAAAAATTTGAAACTTATTTTTGCTTTCAATTCCTTGCAGGATCCACTTATAACTAAAGGATCAGCTTTAGTTCCTCTGCTTGGGATTGATGTTTGGGAGCATGCATACTACTTGCAGGTGAATCTCTTCTCCTTGATTAATATTCATGAAGCCCTAAATTTAAAGGGGTGATTTTAATTGCTTATTTTCTAGTTATAAGTAGGTTTAGATATTTTGCTTTAATCTCCGGATTCAGTAATATAAAAAGCAGTGTACTTATAGGTTCTTAAAAGCGAATTTAGAAATTAGAAAATAAATAATAATATAAATCATAACTTATTTGGTAATGGAATTATGTTTTTGTTAATTTTTTAAAAGATATAACTGCTTACTTTTTCTAATCAGCATTTTGTCCAAATCCATAATTGTTTATCAGTGGAATAAAAATTATCTGCTTTAATTTAAATTACTCTACTGTTTTGAGCATATTTTTTCTGCAATCCCAAGTACTCTCTTATTATTTGTTTAGATGCAACTAGTTGAATGAAAAATTTCAATTTGGTGAAAAATTTCTTGGATTATTTCTCCTTTTATGTCTCAAAGGTTTTCTGATGGTTTGATTTCAAGACTCTGTTACATGACTAATTAGCAAGCCCAAGCAGAGTCAATGTTGGAAGAAGCAAGGATACCTATGGTCATTTGGACATGGAAACATGATTCTGTAGTTTAGTTGAGCTTTCCCATTCATGTTATTTTTTTATTAAGTGTCTCGAAACAATTTAAATTATGGTGATGCAGTACAAGAACGTGAGACCGGATTATCTGAAGAACATATGGAAGGTTATTAACTGGAAGTATGCTAGTGAAGTGTATGAGGGAGAGTGTCCTTGAGGCAGAAAGTTCCATGGTTAAGTCTGAAGGTCATTGAATCTAAAGTCCATCTAGGTTTTTATACAAATAATACTGAGATCCTGAGGTGTTGAACTTGTTTTTGCTGATGTTGTTGTTGAGAAGAAGGATGCTTTTGTTTGAATAAATGATTCTCAAACTTCCAAATATCTTATGTTTTTTGAGATGGTGAAGTGTCTGATTTCTGTCGGCTCCTGAGTCTATGAATCCGGATGTTCATATTTTCTTCAGGTTACTACTATAAAGGTGGCATGAGAAAGACAAGAAAATGGACAATGTAGAAAATTATTTAAAATTGAAGTAATAAAGCTCTTAATTTTTAAACTAAATGTGTGTTTGGATGATGTTTTATTAATGTATATTATGTAATTATTGCATAATTCTCAAAATTTTTATTTATTTTTTTATTTTTTCAAACCATGGAATCTGTGTTGATTTTATGTGGTTTGGATAATTTTAATTTTTTCATCTATACATTTAACCTTTTTGGTTATTATATTTGGATCCTTATTTTAAATTTTTGTTTATTTTATTAATTATATATATTTATTAATATACAATAAAATATGATTAAAATATGTAATTTAATCAAATATATAAGTATATCATCTTATTAATCTAAACAAATAAAAATAGCTATCGTTATTATGTATTAATATATAGTTTTTTTAAAATAATATAATTTTACTATTAGTGATTACTATATAACACCATACATTAATAAATTTCAAATACATTCTAAAACTTTAAATAAATTTCATAAAAAAGAAAGTATAAGAATTATAACTCAAGTGAGATATTAATGGACTATGCACATTTAAAGTTTATAAAAATATTTGGTATATTAATAATAGTTTTACATTGAAATATTAATTAAATGACAAAAAAAATGACAATATTTTCTATTACTTTTATTTAACAAAAATTTTAAAATATATGAAACAGAAATCCATCACCAAAATATTGGAATTCAAAGCAGGAACGTATACATTGAATTGGTGATATTTTTTATGAATAATATTTTTTATCAAATACCATATATATATATGTGTATTTTTATAGTATTTAAAAAATTATCAAACAGTTTTATAAATTATGTGTGTATATATGTGTGTATATTATTAATATTACTTAAATGCTGTCCAAAAAATGAGGTAAGACTAAGAATTGGGCGAATAAAGGTCTTTGCAAAGCCCAGCCCATTGAACAATAAGAGGGCCACAAGAATTTCAACCTCTCGTTTAATGGATCCCATGATTGCCCGTAATTTAAACGCCCCGACCCGTATCCCTGCAGATAAGGTAGTAACCCTAAATCCAACTGCATAGGTATAAAATCATAAAATCCTTCGCTTGCTTTCTCCCAGTCCGCGGGCTTTGTATTCAGGTCTAGGGTTTCTTATCCCCAAAAGCGGATAGACAAAGATCGTCGTCGACATGGTGAATCGCCAGTGTCCCAGCTTGAACTATCCGATCTCTTTCTCTTTGTTTCTCATGATTTCGCCTTATCTAATATATCTGATGCTTACATTTTGTTCATAGACTTTCAAGCGAAGAAACGGAGGGAGGAACAAGCACGGTCGTGGGCACGTCAAGTTCATCCGCTGCTCTAATTGTGGAAAGTGTTGTCCTAAGGTGCTATACTGCCTCGGCTTTTTTCTGTTTGGTTGCCTGGAACAGTATCTAGTTTTTACTTGTATTGCCGTTTTAGAATTATTGATTCTTTCGAAGGAGAAAATAGAAGCAAAAGTAATTGAACATATTGCAATTGGAGTTTCGTTTCTTACTTTTGACTGTTGTTATATTCCGTGAAAGGACAAAGCTATAAAAAGGTTTGTAGTGAGAAACATTGTTGAGCAGGCTGCTGTTAGAGACGTACAGGAAGCTTGCGTCTATGATGGTAACTATCAATTCTTTTAATCGGGCATCTTATTTTCATTTATTTATGCTTTAAATTTATTTTGGATTCCTGTCATGTACTTTGATGTTTGGATGGAGATTAATTAAGGCATTTTTTTGGTTATGTTATCATTATTGTTAGGTTACATGCTTCCTAAGCTGTACATCAAAATGCAGTACTGTGTTTCCTGTGCTATTCATTCTCACGTAGTGAGGGTTCGATCTCGCACCAATAGGAGAATCAGAGAACCTCCACAGCGCTTCAGACGCAGGGTATGTTTTTGAGTTATCTGTGTATTGCTGCGTTAGTGATGAATTTTAAAATAAAGGATGATTTATTTTATTTTTCTTTGTTGGGCTTATGCCAAATATTCCTGCAAATAATAGTTTGTCCTATTTTAGTAGGATATTGTCAGGAAACTTGCTTGTGAGATATCCTTTAATCAGTAGAATTGGCTGATGTGAGGGTTTCAATAGTAGAGAGCAGAAAGGAATAGAATGGTAGAGAGAATGATAGGAGAAAGTAGAAACTTTTCTGATAATTCTTTACTCCTTTTCATTAGTAGTAGTCATCCAGTTATATGCTTACCGCAACCAATCATAGTTGACAGTAACAGTCAGATTCCCAGGGTACAGTAGAGTACAGCTGTCACCCTGTCCTTTCTAGTACGATGGTATAAAACTTGAATGATTCCTACAGGAACTCTTGAACAGGAAAGTAACATTTGATTTATTTTTTCTCGCCACTTGGATGGTTCTTGACACATGTTGGGAGAGGGTGAGGTGATGTAATGGAATGGGAAATTTAGGAGAGAACAATTAAGAGGATGAAATATTATTCAGTAATGGAATAGAAGGGAAATGATGCGTGAATTATTTATTCCCCTTCTCCTTTTCAGGTTGAGGGAGGAAGAATGGAATAAAAATGAGCGTGAAATATATTTTAGTTGAAATACAAATACTCATTGTTTTATTACCTTTATAGATGTTACTGTTTTTACTTACCATCATGGCCCTCCCAAATAATTAAAACATCTACTATTCCCCCATTCCATTAACTTGCTTTTCATTACTTACCAATCCCCTCCTTTCCTAAATAAAGCCTTTAGGTTTTCCTTGTGTATTTGCTTAACTTGTGATATTAGTGGATATTATCTTATGTTTTAGATATATATTAATTCATATTTGCCTGACTTCTCTATCAATCGGGGTGGATTTGGTTAATCAAATATCAGTCTGGATCTAATTGGGTGTGGGATCTGATGTAGTTTGTTTGGTTGGATAACTACACCAAATACCTGATTCAAAAATCTAGGGCAAGCTGGAAAGAAATTCCGGTTTTCGAGTTGCATTCTTAATTTAACTAGTGTCTAACATGTCCTTATTTTAAAATAAAAAAGAAGTGTTTAACAAGTCCTGTGCTCATAATTTGGGAAAAAATTTAGAGAATTTGATGATTTTTTGCTTCCTTGTTTTTGCCTAATTATGTGATTTTCTCTTGTTCCTTTGTCTGTTCAGGAAGACATGCCAAAGCCTGGTGGTGCTCTTGGTCAAGCTGGACGCCCTGCTGGAGCACCAGTTGCTGCCCGGGCTTAAATGTTCTCTGGTTCTTCGCCCATTCGATTTGTAGGTTTTGTGCAAGGCCATTGGTTTTGATGCTTTAATAATTATGCAATATAGTATTCTGTCGCCTGATTCCATGTTAAAGTGCCCTCTTTTCTATAAAGCCAACTCTATGAACTTTTGGTCTACAGAGTAAGCAATCTTATACTTTGATGTTTAAACAATTGGTTCTTTGGCCTACGCGATTAGCAAAGATTTTGATACTTGTGTAATTGTGTTGGTTGATATTTTTATGAGAAAGAACATGCGCCGTTTGTCAATTCCTAATGTTTTCTTTAGATGACTTTAGTACCATACAGATATTGAGGGAGTTCCATCTGATTCACATGTAGCAAACCTAGATTCTAGGGTTATGAGAATTAGTTTCATCTGATCATCACTACCATTATATGTTCAGTTATTCCAGCATGGTGTTTATTTTATCTTAAAAATTAGACGGTTGATAAATAGCATTTATGTGGGGATGAACATCTATTAATTATCACGGGGAGTGATGGCCTGTTCTTAAGATATAGGAATTCATATGCCATAAGCTACAATATCATTTAGTTAATTTTTTGGGAATACACATTTAATTATTTCATGTTTTGCCAAAATATAGGTTATATAAATTATGTTGAAATGGTAAAAATATTAACCTTATAATTCTTGAAGTTTTTAGTCTGCTAATAAAAACATTAGATGTGATTGTTCTAACTAAAGAAATTTATTAGAAAATATTTTTTTTTTCTCAGAAAGGCAATAAACTCAGAAATTTGGTTTAATTTATTATTATAATTTTATTAATATATTAATAAATTAAATTTTTAATCTTATTAAATTAGATGTCATAATCTAATTATTGTAAACGATTAATACATTTACAAAATAATAAATTTTATGTGTAAAGTGATGTTTAAGTTTTTAATCTTTAAGTAGAATATAATGTTTAATTATTATATTATTATATTATTAATATTATTTTAAGGATTTGAAACTTAATATCAGAATTTTTTAAAATTATTTGAAGGTATTATAGGCTTGGTAAAAATTAAAGCTTTTACCTTTTTTAATGAGTGGTCAATGTTAAAGTTTTTTTTTATTTTAATAAATTAGAATTATTTTAACAAAGGGTATTTAAACATATTTTTTTTTTCAACTAAATATGTAATAATGCGAGTTATTACAGTGTTATTAATATACTATTAAATTAAATTTTTAGAATTAAATATTATTAGTTGATCATTACTAATTTATAATAAATTTTATGTTTTTAATAATATTTAAATTTTATAATTTTTAAATATAACACAAATTTTAATTATTAGATCGTCATATTGTTTCTATTTATTGATATTAAAGGCTTACAAATTAAAAAGAGAGTTAGATAAAGTATTTAGGTAATAAAATTTTCTGTAATCACTTGATCTGTCATCTAAATTTTCAACTGTTGAAGTTGCCTATTAATTACTCAAACATGAAATCAAACTTTAGAATTATGTTAGTGAGTTCTAAGTTGGCGCGGACCAAATGTTACCTATTTTGCATACACTTGACAACCATGTCAATAGATTATATATACTTTCAAATTGAAGTATGTTATGCTAATTAGATTAGTCAATGGATTTACTGCGTTTTCATCATGATTAGCCCAATCGACGGTCAAATCTTTACCCAAATTAGGAACAAATATACCTACACATTCGGCAAAAATTTGACCTAATCTGCTACCAACATGAAAAGAGTAGCCTGGTCCGACGAGAATCAAATTCTTTTTTTACGTTCACTACCCAAAAGGAAAAAGAAAAAAAGAAAAAGAAAAGGAGATTTGAACCTTATTCTGGCACTTTTCCCTATCAGCAATCTGTAATATATACACACACACACACACTTATATATATATATATATATATACACACACGTACATGTGTATTATGATAGATATGCTGAAAAAATGGAAACCCTCCAAAATTAAAATCAAAAGATTCTTTAGCATACTTGATATTTGGTTCCTACCCAATCCGTATAATTTCCTTTCTTTTTAAAATTCGCAAGGTTTAATTAGTGCCCGCGATAAGGACATCAAATTTAATTATATGATTTAAAACATTAATTAAAATAATTAATTCGGCCTGTTTAAATTAGGATTAGGGGTGTAAATGTGATTAATGATTAGTGTTTTTTGTAACATTGAATTTAAAATTTTTGGATGGCGTTAACAATTTAACACGCATAAACGTATTATTTCCTTTATTTGACAATATGCAAAAACGATGGCGTTTCGATCAAATCTAATAATCTTAAACGTCATCGTCTTCGTCCCTCGTTAACCCTGCAATCGCACCAAACGAAACAGAAACCACTTTGGTTATTCTTCATTTCCGCTTCTATTTACCACTTCGCCCTCTTTACGTCCCAAGGAAAACACAAACAAAAAGGTGATATTATCATCTGTAAAGGAAGAAGGGGAAAGGAGAAGCAGGAGGAGGAGAAGAAGGTGGAGGGGAGAGGAAGAAGAAGCTTAAAGTTTTTTAAGCTTTAAGTCATTCTTGTTTGTTTCTTTTAGATGATGTTGTTTCTCTCTGCTCCCCCGAGAGAAAGAAACAAAACAACAGACACCATTTCTTTTGGATCTTTCACATGCCCAACACCTCTTTTCCTCTGTTTTTGATGCAATCATCGTTTAAGATACAAACAAATTTTTGTTGACATGAACGCTCGAGCAGTATTTTCCACCCATAAAACCTAATAACAACGATGAACCCACGCGCCGTTTTCTTGAATTCCCGTCCGTAGCCTGCCGTTCATTGACTTCCTCGTTTCTTTTTCTTGATTGAAAATCGTACGTTTTTTTTTTTTGCCTTAAATTCTTCTTTCTTTAATTGCTATGGGCGATCTTCAGGTTTGCTCGTCGGCGCAGCGAAACAATGACGTGCCAAGAGAAGGTCGCCCGTGCCACCTACCGTTTACGGCTTCAAAAGAAGGATATAATTCTTCGTCGATTCCGGATGAGAGTTGGAAAAGAGCAGAGCAAGCGACCTGTGAGATTGTTTGTAAGATTCAACCCACTTTGGTTGCAGATGAGAAGAGAAGACAGGGTTCTAGATTATGTTCAAGGACTAATCAGAAATTCTCTTGGATGCGAGGTGATTTTTTCTGCGTTACTGTGAGCTTGTTTTTCATTCTCTTCCTGCTGTCATATATTATTGTTTAATTACGTTGCTTTTTGTATCTTTACTCTGTCACTTGTTATGGGCATGTGGAATATGCTCTATTGGTTCTATTGATGGTTTTGTTTTGTTTTGTCAGTAGGTTACTTAAACCTCTGGTTTTTTAACTAACTTAATCATGGGTTGCATGGGGCTTTACAATGCTTTCTTCTTAATGACTTCCCAGGCTCCAATATGGGTTTCTGAAAGAAAATATATTCTTGTAATCTCCAAGATGTTATTTTATTTCTTATAATTTGAGATGACTTATTCCAGGTTCTGGTAATTATATTTTTCTGTTTATTTGTTCTGCATTGCTATTTGCTGTTCTTTCATGTGGGGGAATGACTCTTTTCAGAGGCTGTATTGCCGTCTGAATAAGGGAACAATGTAAATGCTATTGCCTTTGCATATTATGTGGCTTAACTGACTCTTCTTTTTTTGTGACTCAGTATTTTAGCTGTAAGGATATTTCAAACAGTTTGGTGCATTATTGAACATTTAGTGTAATGGCATGCTTGATTTTAAAGTAACAAGAGAAGTGAAAGAAAGATCTGATAAGTGGTTGGTAGAGTTCTTTTTCCTCTTTGCTTTCAGAGTGAGGGATCCGGTGATATTTATACTTTAGTATTAAATCTTTGTGTTTATTCATAAGAAGCTGAGTTGCTTCCCAAATCTCATATACAGGTCTTTCCATATGGATCAGTTCCACTCAAAACGTACCTTCCTGATGGAGATATTGACTTGACTGCTCTTTGCAATCCAACGATTGAGGAGACCTTGATCTCTGAAATTCATGCTGTTCTGAGGGGAGAAGAACAAAGGCAAGATGCGAGATTTGAGGTGAAGGATGTTCATTGCATTGATGCTGAGGTACTTCTTTCCTTAATGTTTCATTTTAGGGTCCACTTCACTTGAGTTGACATCTTTTCTAGTTCTATGTGAGAATAGATTTTCTGTCTGGCAAACGGCGCCTATTTAGATATTTGAATTCTGCTAACAGGTGAAGCTTGTGAAATGCCTTGTGCAAAATATCGTGATAGATATATCATCAAATCAGTTGGGAGGACTTTGTACGTTATGTTTTCTTGAACAGGTACTTCTTTGTGACTCATAGAAATTCATAATTTAGATGTCTACTCGTGTTCTATCAGACAAAGTTTATATGTTGAAGTATTTTGATGTCTTCTGTGTTATTTCAGTGATTGACTTTATTGTTTTCCTTTTAAAAAAATCAATCATTGACTCTATGCCTCAAAATGTGTTAAATCAAAGTTGACCAAGAATTTGCTCGTAGGAAGGCATTTATCACGTTCTTGTTGTGCAGGTCGATCTTCTTGTTGGGAAAGACCATCTCTTTAAGTGCAGCATTATTCTAATAAAGGCTTGGTGTTACTATGAGAGTCGAATCCTTGGTTCTCACCATGGTTTAATATCAACATATGCTTTGGAGACACTAATCCTGTATATCTTCAATCTCTTTCATTCTTCTTTGAATGGTCCTCTAGCGGTAAGTGTTTGCAGGGTTCTTGAATCTCTTTCAGTGCTGCCCATCTTATACAATAATTTATGCATTGCTTTTGAGTTCTCTAAAATCTTTGCATTTGTACAGGTTCTGTATAAGTTTTTAGATTACTTCAGCAAGTTTGATTGGGAGAACTACTGTGTCAGTATAAATGGACCAGTTTGTAAATCTTCTCTTCCTCGTATAGTGGGTAAGAAATGTTTCCTATGTGATATTGGTGGCTTGACATTTGACATTTGTTAATTAATTCACAACCTCTTCTCTGAAGCTGCTGAGGTTCCAGAAAATGGGGGTAATGATCTATTGCTGAGTGCAGAATTTATCAAAGGATGTGCTCAAATGTTCTCTGTTCCACCAAAGGGGGATGAGACAAATCCACGAGCATTCTCCCAGAAGCATCTCAATATAATTGATCCATTGAGAGAAAACAACAATCTTGGACGAAGTGTTAACCGAGGTATGGTTTCTCCTCTCCTGTCTTCTTTCCCTTTATAGTGCTTTTAGGGTAAGACAGCCAAATAGTTTCTTGTTTTCTTTTCTCTTTTATACAAGTATTCTTGCGTTTCCTCATGTTAATGATACTACTTCCACGCAGGAAACTTTTTTCGGATATGTAGTGCATTTAAATATGGTGCCCGCAAGCTTGGTCAGATCCTTCTGTTACCAAGAGGAAGAATTGCAGATGAGCTCAAGAAATTCTTTGCAAACACTTTGGAAAGGCATGGAAGCAATCACTGGGCAGTGTCTGGTCATGAAGATTCTGGTTGTTCATCTCCATCCTTTTCGGATATATCTTCCGGAGACACTATGCTTCTAAAGCGATTGACTGATGGCTCTGTTGAGAAAACATCAGTAGCCCAAGTTGTGTCGGGATTTGGTAATGGGCCAGAAATATATTCATCGAAAGTAGTTTCCTCGCAGGTGTTGCAAGAATTATGCCATTTTGCAGATGGAAATTTTGGGTGTTGTTTCACTGGGCCTGCCAGGGAGATTATGACCTCTAGATCTGTAGATTTGAGAAGCAAAAACGAATCAGCTGATTATTTGTCTCAGGATCTACCTCAGTTATATTTCTCCGGATTTCTCAGAGTAAATGGAAATACTGAAAATGGGAACTCATGCCAAAGCATGCCACAAATACCTGTTGCTTCTGGTTTTATGTTTTCAGGTAATAATCACGAGTCTGTTAGACCCATTGGGAAGGCATCTTTCATTCCTGTAGCTAGTTTGCCAGGGAACTTACCTACTAGTTTTAGGGGAGAGTTACCTGGCAATTTTGTAAGATATGCATCTTCAAAACCCTTGTTGGACCTTACTGTGAATTATGAGAGCTACTTATGGAGTGTGTTATATGGTCAGTATTGCCATTTATTTGCTGCTTCTGCACACGTGCTGACGTATTCTCCCATCTCAGCTCAATTACAAAATAATAATCCTTGGAAAACTACCCAGCAAAATTTGCCACTGAAAGAGAATGTCTCTTCTCAAAAGGACAGAAATGATATTTCAGGAGCTGAATCTGACCATGTGAGTCCTCCCACATCATCTGGTTCTATTTTCCAATTTAGAAGGAAAGAAAATTATATGAGAATATCCCGGATAGATACCCAACATGATATATTCATTTCCGTGGGCGTTTGTGAAAAAAATTTGCTATGACCTGCAATCCACTATCTTGTCACTAATGATTAACAATCTTGCAGAATCATCATGCATGTAAAAATAGACCATCATCAGGGAGAGGAAGGTTTCAGGGAGAAGGGGCTCAGGGTCAGCAAAAGACTCTAAATAATGGACCGTCTGTAGCGCCAGAAGAGAAGAATCTGTTAGTAGAAGGTGTCCACGAGCTGTCAAAGGAAGAGTATCCAGCTCTGGAAAATGGGAAGTCAAGATCATCAGATATGCATAATCATAGGACTTCCACTTGGGGTCCTTTGAATGGTACTAATGGCCACTCTCACTTGTCAGGCAGACATGAGACGAGGACTCCTGACACTCAGCCAAGGGAAGCAAAATTAGCAGGAGGAGGAGGTAGTGTACAGATGGATTCTTCAGGCAGCAACTCTTGGGTGTCTTCATCAAGTCACACGGTAGCAGCAGCAACAGCAGCAGAGACACCTGCCAAAAGCAGTAGTGCAAGGTAATAGACTCTCCTAGTATGTCCATTGTTCCTGCTCCGGTTATATATACTACAGTCCCGACTGATTAATGTTCATGGGTGCGCTTTTTGGTTGTAGTACGGTGGATCAATCGTACCATCTGATGAATGAAACTGATTTCCCTCCTCTGTCACTATGAAAGGTGGTTTTGGAACTGACTGAAAGCCTTTGGAAACTAAATTTCCCAGCTGGAAGAAATGCTTTTTACTTCTTCATCCTCTTCTTTTTGTCTGCATTTCAATCTTTACCTCCGAGGTGGTTTGTTCTGAGTGTGGCTGTGGGGGTTACAGAATACTTTTTTTGACTTTTGTACATTTTGATCTGGGTGTTTGTATACCTGCGTATATGTTGGCTGTCATGGAGTGGATTTTAGCTTCTTTTTCCTTCCCCCCCCCCCCCCCCTCTCTCTTTATATGTAGTGAATTTTCATGTAGAGAACAGGAAAGGTTTGTGTAGATATTCCTCTGTGGAAGCATGCAAATTTGCTTGTATTGTTGATGAAAAGTTTTAGCTCGTTGCAGCTGAGAAATGTAAAAAAAACAAAAAACAAAAGAAAGAAAAAAAAAAACAACGAAGTAGATTTCTTTTTTGGGAATATATGTATTGTTCATCTTACTGTTCATAAGGATTTACTAAATGATGCTGTAAGAGAGAGTTTCAGAAATAATAAAATAATTTTAGTATTTAAATCTGATTTAATTATTTATTAATACTTATTTATTAGGGTAATAATTACTTAATAAATTTATGTTATTTGACAAATTAATCTAGGAGCTACCTGATGTATTCAGTTGCAATAATATTTTTTATTGTTAATATCTTTAAAATGCATATGATTCAAAGAAAGTCCGGTCCACTATCTTTTGATATTTTTTCTTATATAACAAATAAAAAGGTCTTTTAAATACAATATATTATATAAATATCTATGTTAAATTACGATATAAATAATTACGAAATAAATAATTATTTTCATTTTATACCCATTTCATCCCACTAAATAATTTTTTTTTAATGTAAATTATTAATTATTATTGATATTATTTTATGTTATTTTTCACTTAGAATAAAGTTAAGGGGTTATCATAAAACCTTGTTAATTTATAACAAATTGGTGAGTAACTTTATTATTGACATAATTAACTTCCTATAAATTTACAATTATGTCAATTTTCATATATGGATTTTCTTCTTTATTGCAAAAAGAAAGTAATTAATAGATTCAACGTATCTAAATCAATGCTTGATATATTATAAAATATGTTTGGTGATAAATTTGTCATCTAAGAGTCTATAAATTAGGTAAAATTTTCTTAAAAAGCTTATAAATGATCTAAGATAAACTTATATCGAAATATTAAAAGAGTGAATTTCAAGCATGCGATGATAATTTAAAATTTAAAATTAAATTTAAGCTTGTGAATTTTGAAATCCTAGACCATTGGTCTACATAGAGGAACATGCAAGACAGCTTGGCTGCTTGACATGTATACCGTATAGTATAACTTTAACATTAAAACAATAGACAAACATCATATGCTGTTGAAAACGATAGCTATGGATTTGGCATGTAACAGAACACTATATAATTGAATTGACATGAAGACTTTCTGCTGGTAATTAGGCCTAAAATTAGATTTGTAAAGCAGACTAATCACATGATTAGAGCCGTTATTGAAGGATAATCTTTCTAATTTGTTCAATCAAAGGTCCTTGTCATGTTCATATCCTCTCCTACTCAACCTGCGTTATCCTCGCTATATCCCATTCCTTAAAAACAATGACTGGATAGAGCAAGCCGCATTTCAAGCACAAAAGTGAAGGAGAAGACAAATCGAAAATATCCATCAACTTTCAACACCCACAATCAAATATAATAATATATTTTACAGACTAATCACTTTGGATTCTTCTTTGCTAAACATATCATTTTCCCACCTCCCAACCAATCATACAAGTACAAGCACACAAACAAAGTTTCTCCTTTATAATCCAAGATCCCATAAACATGCTATGTAACCAACATAACTAAACACAACAACTACATGGACAACAACTGTATCATCTGAGATTGAGACAAAGAAACAGAATGGATGGTGATATCTTAACATCTAACCGGGATGACCCTTCAGCCCGTATGTCCTAGGATTCCCAAGATATAAAAAAAGAATGGTCAACAATAGGCTCATGACCGACACATCAAAACCCTAAAGGGTGATTCCCGGTATTCTGGGAAAACCCGAAGAATAAACAATCAAGAATTTGAACCCCACAACAGGAATGGAATAAATAGAATAAAGAAACAGTACCTTCTCTAAATGATAGAACGTCAGTCTATTAACAACCTACAACACAAGCATGCCATGGAAGAGTCAGCACGTCAGCAGCCAGTTTGTGTCAATATGTGGAGCTACTTTCACTGGCAGAAAGTGAGGGGCCTTCCGACTTCATCAGACTTGATCCTTTACTACCAATGTCAAGCCCCTGTAATCGGCCAAGAGGGTCGTTCTGTAAAAGTTCTGAGATATGATGAGAATTTGCATGATGAAGATGGTGACTTGGCATGCTAGCTTGAGAATGACTGAATGGTGGCAGCTGCATATTCGGGTGGCTAGCTGGGCCTAGTTGTTGGGGAATAGGTAGAAAAGCTGAGGGGACATATTGCATGTGGTGCATTCCTAAATTAAATGACTCTGAAGGACTCATCATCTCCCCAGTGGCAATCTTGAGCCTCTCAACTTCCTTCTTTAGTGCTTCGTTTAGAGCTGCGGGATATCAATCATTAAAAACAATTTCACTATTGTCTAACATTCTTGCTGGTCAAGATAATAAGAAAGAGATACCAAAGGAGGATGCTTACCATCACGCAACTGAGCTTGTTGCTCCATAGCTTGTAACCGAAGCTTGAGCTCTGTATTTTCACTACTCAAACCAGTTGTATCCCTCTGTATAAGCAACAAGAAAGCTGAGACCATTTAGTTACTTGTAAACATCATAAACTTTTTTGATAATTCATTAAAATAACAATTTTTAGCTTTCCTGCAAAATAGCTTGCCACGTAACATAGAACTATAAAACAATATGAAGCAAAAGCATGCAGCATATTTTAGTTCAATACATCTTGCAGCGGACCTATCTAGACTGCAAACCGAGCACCATACATAATCATGATGAAGACATTAAATGCGAAATATATATTTAACCATCCTTAACAGTTTTCCTAAACAATTCCTTTCCCTTTTTGACTGCCATACACCATGGCCTAACAATAAACATAACTCTAATATCTAGCAGCTAGGCTGCTAAGGACGTGCTGGATACGTCTAATCTACAACACAAACCTGAAATAGTGTGAGCTGGGCAGACAGGGTGGTCGCTTCTGTTTGCAGAGTCTGAACTTTTCGTTCAAGTTCAAGAATATACCGAGCCTTCCTTTCCTTTGAGCGAGCTGCAGACTGCCTATTTGCCAGTATCCTGCACATGTAATAAACTCCCTTGTGAGGCTCGATTCATCTCTATGTATGTTGTATGGCATTCAGAAATTCTTTGACGGAACTCAATATCCTTGGAACCAAAAATTATCTCCCGGTTAAATCTTCCATGTTCAACAAGTCTCATGATAACATATAGCATCCCGAGTTCAGACAAATGATTAGACTTGTTTTAAACATGTTAAGCTATACATGCCAATATACTAGCAAAAAATGGCAGCTTCAATTCAAATAATGGCAACTTGGTTATTGAGCTTGAGAGAGTTGATTGAGGTGTAAAAGGCAAGAGAAGACAAGCAAAACGTTCATGAAAATCAGTGATTGAATAATTACTTGCAGTAGGATTCCAATTTATTATGAATGTAACTTATCTTTTCAAGTTATCAGGGAAAAGAATGGGTTTTTAAGGTGTAAAAATGCATGCACAGCAAGAAAGAAGAAGAAAACTTGTAAGTCCAAGATTTTCCCGTTGTTTTGCACGAATATAAAATCTGGCAAACTATATTCTCAGGGGAACCAAACAAAAGAATAGCAGAATTAGGCTGATTAGAGTAAAACCTTATCCATTTTCGCTGAATACTGCGTAAAAAGTGAAAACTTCCACTTCAAATTTGAATATGCAAATTTCCAGGAAAAAGAATTGAAACAAAAAAGAGCGTATCAACTGAAAAGAAAAGAAGAAAGAGGACCTTTTCGCGCGCTTGGGGTCAAGGTTCCAGAGCTCCGCAAGCTTATCAGGAGGCATTGCTTTCTTAGCCTCCATAATTTCCGCACCACCGTACATACTACTCCCTCCGTCCATCGAATTGCTGTGCCTGTGCCTCGGCCTCGACAACGAGGTCGTATTCGATGTGGATGACGTTGGCATCTTGTCTCCTCCTCCACCAGCAGCAGCAGTATGATCCGTACAGTTCCGTCCAGCAGCACAATCTCCGGAACCAATGCTTCCTCCAGCCAGCTTGTCAACGTCAATGTAGGTGGAGAAGACGTCATCTTCGGATCCGATCTCCTCAAAGCTAGCGGTGGAAGATCCTCCGCCCCCTCCGGCAGCTGCAGCTCCACCTCCGCTTATGGGACCAGGCGGCGGCGACAGATCCGTCATCATCATGGACATGTCGTCCGGCATTCTGAAGCTAACCTCGGAGTGGGCCCTCCTATGGTGAGGCCCACCCCTTAGGAGTGCGGGTGCGTGAAGGAGCGACGTTGGTCCGGATGAGAAGGAGGAGGTGGCGGCGTTGGGCAATGGTGAAATGTTTGGGGATGAATTGGGATTGGGTTTAGGTTTGAACTCCGGATCTTGGATCTCCATCGACATTGTTGGTCCGTCTTATCTTGTTTGTTTTGTTTTGGCGTTGGTCAATTACTTGTTTCTTCTTGGTCGTCGTCTTCTTCTTCTGGTCTCATTGGATTATGCAACACGAAACAAACCATAAATGCAAGGTTGCCTAACTCTAATAAATGTTCATCCTAATCCCCCCCTTTTGTTTGTTATTATTATTTTAATAAATTATTAAATTAATTTTCAAATGATTTAATTTATAATATTTTTAAATTTAAATTTATTTTAATCATTTTCTTAAAGATTTAAAAGATAATTTTAATTAATTAAATAATCAAAATTATTCTTTTAAAATATTTTAAAAATCATTTAAATACAACTTGATTCGCTTAATTTTTCTATTAAAAAATAAACATAAATTAAACATTTAAAATAAAAAAAACAATTAAATTATAATAATTATTGATTAGTTAAATTATTTTAAATACTAAAAAATAAATTTAAATAAAAGATAAATAATATTTTTATAAATACTTTATACCATTTCACAAAAAAAAAATTATTTAAAAAAAAAACTAAAAATTTAAATTTAATAATTAAAAAGTTAACGTGAAGGTTAATAAATAAATAAATAAATAAATAAAATATTATGTTTGAAAAGTAACGAAGAGAAGATGTGTGTGTTTTGGAACGTGAAAAGGAGATTATATTTAACACATCAATCATTATGTTTCCCTTCTACACTTCTCACGCTTGTTATCAAAATATGAATACGAGATAATCTAAATATTTAAATTCATTTTATTTTATTTTTTAAAAAAGTGTTAGTTATATTAAAAATATATTTTAAAAAATAAACTTTGACGTAAACCCATGTGCTTTTTATTACATTTGACCATGAATTCAAAGTTTTTACATTTTTCGGTTCTTGATTTGATTTATTCTCGAATCATGGATTCAAATTAAATTATTGCTTGTTACGTAGAAGATTTGATTGCCTCGAATACCTATTCGAAATGAATTGTATTTTTTTTTTTATGTTAATATTAAAATATTATTGATTATATTATTATTAGTATACATATAAAATTTAATTATTAAAATAAATCTTAATCTGTTAGAGACTAATTTTAAAAACGTATAAATTATTATAAATATAAATTTTTATGCTCGAATAAGAGAACTAAAAACTTAGGCGGTTTTGTTAGTAATTAAATTTTTTATTAAGAAATTTCTCTAAAAAAAACCGTGCATTATATTATTACAATATCAAAAAATCTGAGAGATAGAAAATAAATAAAAATATTGAAATAATTCTATATGTTTGAAAACGTTAAATATTAAATTATAATAAAAAAATAACTTAATGATTAAATTATAATAAATGTTAAATCTTATGAATTAATTTAATAGTTTATCATATAAAAAAAATAACTATTAACCGCATCACACACAGACATATAAATTTAGAGAAGCCAAAATCTAGAGATATAATATTTTACTAAAAGTTATTTGTTAGTCTTTAACGAAAATATAATGGAGGTTAATTTAATAATATGATTTTAAGTACAACTTTTAAGAGTTAAAAAGCAGCAAAAGAGGGGCATATAGAAGACGGTCCGTATCTGCGGGGTGCACTGATGAGTGGAACGTGGAACAACGTGGCTGGCTGAATAGAAAGAGCAGAGTGAGGTTCAGATGAATGGGCCTCTTTATTTCCAATTATTTTTACAAATAATATTTATATTATCTTATTTAATATCAATAAACCCACTTTTTATTAAATTTAAAGTTAAATATTAAAATAGCCGGTACACGAGTTGTGAGCAGCAACGCATGACTCGAAGCTTCGCACAAATAAATAAATAAATAAATATATTGGTAAAATAGTAAATAGCAAATTAATTATAAAGGAAGATGATGGGGATGGTGGTTCAGAGAATACGGAGAGTAGGGGGAGGCAGCAACGAAAGACGGTGTCGTATTGGTACTACCCGGCGACATCACTGCTCTTGGGCTTCTTGATCTCGACATCTCTACCCCACTCCGTTCTTTATATCCTCTCTTCTTCCCCACCCTCTCTGGCCCTTTCTCTGCCCACTTCAACTCCGCCTGCTTCACGCTGCTCGAGTACCTCCACCAACAACTTACCCTTCCCGCTCTTCCTATATACCTATACATACATACATATATATATATATGTATACGCACACGTGTTAATTAATATTTAATTATGGATTCGTGATTAACATTCTAATTAGTTCAATAATCATTACGTACCTGGCACTAAATCTTCTTCCTAAACAAGGAATGCACTTTCTTCCTTCTGTCATCTCTCCCATGCCGATACTCACACACCGTCTGCAGTACACCCTTCCACAAACCTACACGTGCAATATCTAGTCATCAAATATTTTAATTTTATGTTTATAGCATGATTAATCTTATACGTAGTTAATTACCAGACATCGATGGCGAAAAATATAGATGTAAGTACTGCAAATGGTGCATATATTGGAGTGAGGAATCCCGGGACGACGTCGTTGAGGTCTGTCTTGATATCCAGAAGCCATGCTCGTCGCACTCACATCATCATCATACACCATGCTGCTATCTCCAAGTGCATGCGCCCTATGACTGCTGCTTCTTGGGCTAACAACGTGGGTATGATGACGATGACCATGATGATGATGATGATGATGATGAGCTACGTGGAATGAATCAGGAGCGTTCAAATGATCATCTTGGGTCATCATGTGGTGGTTGTTGGACTGATGAAGAGCTCTGTTGAAGTCGAGACTGGGAAGTTTGGTGAGTTTTTCAGGCGATTTGTTGATGGCCTTGTTTTGGATCTGTGCAAGGTCTTGAAAAGTGAGGTTGACTGATTCATCTGGGATTCCCAGATAAAGTTCTTCAAGCTCGATTCTTGCCTTTGCCAATGTTTTTGAATCTCCCATTGTTGCAGAGAAAAGGAAGAAGAAGATGGAGCTTTATGTTTGGAAATTTAATTAGAAGGGTTTATTAACCAGTCAATTAATTAATACGCAAGGCCGGACTAATTAATCTAGATTATTCTTCAGCACCAACAACAATGGCCGGTTGTTAATCAATTAATTAATTGCCGATCATGAATATATCGGGTCCGGGCGGCGTAATCCGGAATAAGCCATGGCTCATGTCAGCACATCACAAGTTAATGGTGGGTCGGATCTAAACCCGGCGATTATTAGTAATAGGACAAAATCGCTGCCTTGGCCGGTTCGTTCAATTGGCAATTAATATAATGTTATTTAATCACGTTATTTCTTGGTTTAATCGACGCTTGTTTTGGCATTTAATCACTATTATGTATATGTATATGGTTCAGTCTACAATATCAAGTCTACAGAAGTCAATTAATGATTTATTTTTTTTATTGTGACTTTTTTTTTTTTCCCACACAATGTTATGACATATTTGGCATTTGTCTATTTTTACGCGGATTACTATGCAATTATATGGAGAAATATTAATATTGATACTACTTACTTTTTATATTAAGACCAAAAAAAAAAAAATCATATTATTGGTTCTTTTGTATTGTAAGTTTAAATTGAGTTGTAAATTTTATATATTTTTATTAAAAAATTATGTTATGATTCATATATATGTATTATTTTATTAATAAAATATATAAATTTTGATTGAAAATGAATTATCAAAAATGTAGGCAGTGAATTAATTTTAATATTTATTATAACCTTTTTTCAATACAAAATAATGTTGTACATAAAATTATGATTTAGTTAGTTTGTTGCAAACATGCACCTCAATCAGATTCCAAAGGAATGCATGCCACTTTTTTTTTATAATAAATATAAATATTAATTTAAATTTTTAACATGTTGTGATTGTTTTAATTTTAAAAAATTAAGTATTATAATTTTTTTATTTATATACATAATAAATTTATTCAAATTTAGTCATTGCAATCTTATTAAATATTAATAAAATAAATTTTCGATTTTATCGAATTAAATATTATAAATCGAATACTGTTAATCCATAATATACCAATAAGGTAACAAACTCTATGTTTTTAACGAATTTTTAATTAATAATATTCAAAGAGTATGTAATATTTAAATCTAAGATCGAAGAGTTGTTTAAAAGAAAATAAATAATAATGAGCACTACTAACCTTTTTTTCTAAAGTATATCTTTGAAAATTTAAAGAAAAAAAAGGTAAATTGAAGTATGTGGGGGTCATAAGTTAAAGAATTGAAGCTTCGAGATGTTAAATTTTAAATAGTCAAAGCTTCCAACACTAATACCCTATTTGGATAAATTTTAGTGATGGTTAATTGATGTATGGTAATGACAGTAATTAAATAACAATTATATAAGATGGGGATGACAAATTTTTTTTATATTTGGATGATTGTATATTAATTTATGTTAATGACATATTTTTGTTTGGATGATATGATGGTATGGTTGTATTTTCAATTAAATTATTAATTTATCCCTATCGATTTATGTAATAATAAATGGTATATAAAAAGTATATAATAAAAAAAATTAAATTCTTTACTAATATAATTACATTTGTATTTAAATAAATAATTATTACAAATTAAATTTTTATATTTAATAAAAGAAATAATAAATTGTAAAGATAAAAATAGAATTAAATATATTATATGACGGTATAAAGAAGAGAGAAAAAAAACATGTCATTCACATACCATCGATTCGGTGGTTTTAAAATTCATCACAAATTTATCAGTCAAATATCATTTGTTATTATTGAAAGTTGAAACAAATATGATTTTTTCATACTTGTAAAATACCATACATTAAAATTATGTCATTTATTACGATACAAATAGAATGTAAAAATTCCATCACATCCCAAGAGATCTTCATCAACTCTTCAATAACGAAGAGCGTCCTCACAAAAAATGTTTCAATCATATTTCAAGTCTCAATCCAAATTTTACTAATGATTCCCACACATAAGATATATATACACACACACACACACACATATATCCTTTAAAAGGAAAGAAACCATGATTTATGCATTTAATTAAGATCGATTAGTGCATGATTTCTGATTTCTTTTTTTCACAAAGAGATGAAAAATGGGTGTGTGAGAAGGTAAGTGATGAAGCAAGAGGGAAGGAAGTTGGTAGTCAGCTAAAATATATGTAAGTAGACAAACAAATAAAACAAAGAGATGGAATTTGGTTGATATAAAACATGATTACTATTTTAATTTTCAGTAAAAATATATTTTATAAGCACCCTATTATTAATATGGTTGGAAATTCGGAAACTAATATAGTATTTTATTTCATCAATACGACAATCTTTTGTGATTTTTGAATTGATTAAATACGTTGCTTTTTCTCCAGACACCATCATCATTGTTCATCCTGCTGATTTTGACAAATATTTGTATCTAAACAAGTAAGGATTTGGTTTGTGTGTATAAAAACCGATTTGAAAATATTTTTTCAGAGACAAAAGAAAAGAAAATGAAAATTTTTGGGGAAAAAGAACACAGTATTTGATGAAGTGAGAGTTTAGGTGTCAGTCAAGTGGTAACCCACACAAATTGGGGTTTCCCGTCGGCCATATCAACAATATTTCCAGCTGAATAAATATTATTCTCAAAATATGCACATCCCCAAACATATAAAAGAGTTTCAGACTATATTCTCCAAAAACTCTCTGGAGATTACCATCCAAAACATAAAACCCAATGAAAATGTAAAACAAAATTCCTATGTTTGTTTGTTTTTGAAAAAAAATTAAGAGTACCATTACATTCCCTCAAGAAATACTGCTCCTGTCTAAGCTCTGGGCAGCTCGCAATGCTTCATCACTTCTACCATCACCTACGCGTCCTAGAGATGCAACAAAACCATTCTCTGCTGGTGTGTGTCTCTCGCTCTGGCCATTAGCCGGTGAGAGTAAACAAGGGCCAAGACTAGCCTGTTGCTCAGTCATCTGCTTCATAAGATTCTCTATGTTAGCTGCTTGCAGAAGGCTCATTAGGCTTATTGGAGGTTCCTCAAGTTGCATCTCTTCTCGTTGCGGATGACAATTCAGGTCAATTGAATTGCTGCTCTCAGCCACATCACCCTGAATTCTGTTATGGCTTCCTTCATTATCTGAAAGATGCTTGTGCAATGGGTACCCTGTCATTGCATTAAGTTCTGATTCATTCAGGTTATCATTTTGCTCTTTTTGAGCAGCTTCTGCTTCAAGCTCTGATTGTCGTTTCTTCTTGCGCAACATGAGAGTCTTGAATCGCCTCTTCACAGTCATGCACACATTGCATGTGCATGTGGGCTTATGCTTTCCTTTTCCGCTTGGGGGCTGAATGCACACAATGCATGTACAGCCAGGGCGATGACGGGGATGTTTGGTGGTAGCTCCAACAGATTGTTCCCCCGATTCACCCAAGTTGTCTCCTAGAACAGCAGCACTGGCCAGAGCATCCAAGCCAGAAGGTTCATGTTCTTGGTCTGCCTTCTGGCTTTCTGCATTTCTTCTCCTCTTGAAATCTGGGAAACAATATGAAAAGAGGAAAGGGAGTAACAAAAACGATGTAAAAGAAGAACGCAGATATTCTTGAGTTTCGCAATAACATAGCAGTAAGCATTCTATTTATATTTTTCCAATCAGATTGATGTCTTCAGGGACATCTGCAACAAGATTACAATTATATTGGTAATTTGTAATGGCAGTATGGTACTATGTCTAAGCAGTATGTGATGTAGAACAGGAAAATACTTGAGTAGATCTATTTTGATAGTAAGATATATTAATGTAATTATAATGTTTTCTTTTATATTTTTTATTTTCAATGAACAGTCAGGATCTTATTTAGTTATTATCTATTATAGGATATTCTAATTAAGTAGCTTATTTTCTTATCTTTAGAATTCCTAGATAGAATAAGAATTCCTAGGTTGGATTCTCTAGTTTATTTATTTGGTAGATTATTATTATCATCATTATACAAACATTGAGTATTATTTACTAACTGAGATTTAGATCTCCTATCTTGGTTCTTAATATATTTTCTCTAATTATTGTCTTCAAGCCCTCTTTTTCCTACGTCCGTAAGGTTTCTAGCACCAGCGAATGGCAAACAGGAAGATGTGAACTTGAAGACTCTCCGTAGTGCCTGTTGATATCTAGGCACTTTTCTCCAAATGAAGAGTGTAAATGCAATGATCCAAACATAAACAGCCTCATTATATGGCACCAAATTTAAAGCCAAATCATGGCATCAAGCTTGCCTTGCATGCACCATAAAAGAGTGAACTATTTTATTCACCAATAGCTTTTTCACTCTTACACTGGTTTCCAAGCATAACAGCTCAAAACTTCTGCTGGAATAAGAAGACA